ATACACACAATGGAATACTATTCAGTCATAAAAAAAAAATGAAATCTTGTCATTTGTGGCAACACGGATGAGCCCGGAGGACATTACGTTACGTGAGTAAGCCAGGCACAGAAAGATAAATACAGCATGTTTTCACTCATATGTGAAAGCTAAAAAGTTGATCTCACACAAGCAGAGCAGAATAGTGGTTAGTAGAGGCTGGAAGGGTGCTGGGGAATGGGGGGATAGGGAAAGGTTCATTAATAGATACAAAATTATAGCTAGATAGGAGAAATAAGTTCTAGTGTTCTATGCAGCAGCCCCCAACCTTTTTGGCACCAAGGACTGGTTTCATGGAAGACAATTTTTCTACGGACAGGGGTTGGGGAGCAGGAATGGAGGACGATGGGGAGAGCTGTAAATAGAGATGAAACTTTGCTCACTCACCTCCTGCTGTGCAGCCCAGTTCCTAATGGGCCGCGGACCAATACCATGATAGTATACTTTTAAATCACTCAAGATGCATCTCTAAAAATTAAGGATACTGTCCTTTATAACTGCTAAACCATTATTATAACTAGCAAATCTACAATAAATCATCTCACACCTGTAATCAATATTGTCCAACCTAATTCAAATTACCTGTGAATTATTTCTTTGTTCAGTTTGCCTTCCACCTCTAGAAAATGTCTGATTTTTTTCCATCCAAGGTTTTTTCTGAGTTGTCTGGCAAGTTACATTGGACCAATTTACACCACCTATAACAAATGAGTTTAAAAATATGATTTACTTATAAAAGAAGCCAAAACCTAAATTGCCCCCTAAGTTCGAATATCGAAATTTAGTCACTATAAATATTGGAAATTTTTCTATAAACTTTAAGTGGTATTCCAGTTCTTAGTAATACAGGTATCATCTTGCAGAATACCTCCAGCTGGCATTTTCTCAATTTGATCGGAAAACTATACTTTCAGATTAACTTCAATCTCTGAAAGATTTCTAATTTTTTTGCAGCATCAGCAAGCCTCATGCTTAAAAAGAAAACTATGACATAGTCAAAGGTACAGCAAAAATACAATGTAGAAAATAAGTACCTGCACACATAGATGATTCCACATGCTAAAAAAAAGAAACAAAAAAAGAATTATTTTCTACTTAAGAGTCAAATTTATGTACTTTGCAAAACATTTCACAATTTAGTCTAGTGTGAAGTGTGCTTATTACAATCTTATAATACTCAGACACTTTTGTTATTAATAAAATATACAAAATACATTTTTAACTATCCTGTTACTATAGAATTTGTTAACAAAAATACTTAAGTTTTAGCAGAGATGTAAAGATAATAATGTCAATGACTAAAAAGGAAATCAAGGCAATGTTACATACATTCGTGGTCCCAGAATCAGGATTTCTCAAAGTCCCTGCTGCAGGCTGGTTGTTGCTGTGTTTGGGACTGCAGTAACCACTATCGCTGTCAATGTCGGCTTCACTAGCCCCCTGCTCACTAGAAGATTCGGCAGTGGGGTGGGACGCTCTCCTCCTCCTGCCTTTGGACTTCCAGAGCATTGTGGCGGTGGTCTCTGAGAGAGACTTGTTAGCTATATCGGATGGGAAATCTACAAAGGCAAGGAAAGTGTGACAACTCTTTGTGATGAACAAATTGATAAATTCTTGTTAAATTATCCTTAAGGTTGTAAGAAAATAAAATATCAAATTTTGTAAATGGAGAAATAGGTGACAACTTTTTGAAAAGATCATTAAAGAGAATAAAATATTTGTATAATTAAAATAGTAAAACCACCATTAGCCATTTTACAAACCACCAATCTTTGAAGGGCCACTGTGTGCCCCATTCTACCACCCCATTCTCTTCTTCCTCCAGTGGTTACCTCTGTTCTGAATTCTGTGCATGACATTCCCTTACTTTTCTTTATAGAGTACCATGGATTTTTGTATTTCTAAAACATAAATCAGGGAATTTCGCAGTTTATAACCATATTTTTTAAAGAAAAACATACTGTCCATATTCCTCTGGGAATTGCTCCCCCCAACCCCAACCTCAACCCTGGTTTTGAAATTCTGGTGCATGTGGCTGTAATTCCTTTATGTCACTGGAATCTAGAATGCCTTTGTATGAATATACCATAAGACACTTACCTTCTGTACCACTGATGGGACACTTGGGTTGTTTTGGGCTTTGCTATTAAAAACAATACTGATGTAAACATTCACATGCAGATACATGAATGTATAACACATGTGTGCATGTGAAAGTTTCTCTAAGGTAAACACTGCCAGATCTCAGGGGATGCACAAGTTCAACTTACCTTAATAATGCCAAATCATTTTCAAAGGTGGTTAAAACAATTTATACTCAAACAGTAGGCTATAGATATGCCCACTGATCCATATATTCACCCAATACTTGATACTGTCTTCTGGACTATACCCAATCTGTAGGGTATAAAAAGGTGGCTCAATGTGGGTTTTCGTTTGTATTTTCCTGCTTAATAATGAGGCTGAGCATCTTTTCTGATGCTTTTAGCCACTAATGTTTTCCTTTCTGTGAAATTCTTACTAATTTTACTTTTGGATTATTTGACTTTTGCCTGTTTTTCTACTGAGTTATCTGTCTCTTACTTTTTATTTCATAAATTGTAATCACAGTAAGACATTTTGGAAAAAATCTCTTAGAATCTTCTCCCCCAAAATTGGAAGTTTTCCTTTTTTCACATTTCTGACCATTCATAAATTTTACATAACACTGATACAATTTTGATTGTGTTAATATTCTGTCATATGTTATGATAAGTCTTCATAATTATAATGTAAGATGGCTCCATATTATTCCATTGAGTGGGTATCCTGTGTTTTTCATGACTTGTCACCTGCTGCCGGCCACTAAGAAGGTTTCAGTGTTTTTGTTGCACTGCTGTAATGTGCATCTTTAATTGAACAGCCCCTCTCTTTCTAGGGGGAGGTTCTACTTGGATACATTCACAGAAGTGGGATGACTGGATCAAAAGAAAAATTCCTATAGTTCCGCAAAATTGTTTCCGTCCCCTGGCCCCCCAGGGGCCCCAAGGGCAAGGTGGGATCATTTTCTTATTGATGCATATGAATTCTTCAGAGATCTAATACCAACCCTTTGTCGGTTATATGCATGGTAAAAATCCTTTCCAAGTTTGTGACTTGTTCTTTCACACACTTTTAATAAATATAAATTCTTAATTTTAGAAATAGTTCCCTCCCTGCAGTCATAAAGGTATCTGCCTATGATTTCTTCTACCATTGGTTTTCCCATTTAAGTCCTTAATCCATCTGAAATAGATTTGTGTGGGGTATAAATTAGGGGTCTGTAATGCTATCTCTGTCATTTTCCATATATGTATTTACACACATGTGGGATCTGTTACTGGGCTTTCTGTTCTATTCAATTTTTGTATACACTGGTAACATAAACCTGTAGAAATTAGGATGGCTTTATAAGTCCTAATATCCAGAGGAAAAGTTCTTTTCCAGAGATGTCTTGGCTCTTCTCAGATGACTACACCTGTATTTTAGAATTAATTTGTCAAGTTCCCCCAACAACTCCTAGTGGAATTTTTATTAGAACTATATTGAGTCTATAGACTAACTTAAGGAAAACTGACACTTGCAATATCAAATCATACTACATGAACATGATATGTAGGTTTTTCTTAATGTCTTATAATAAAGTCTTACAGTTTTTTTGCCTATATGTCTCACACATCTTCTCTAAAATTTATTACCAGAAACTATATATTTTTGTTTCTACTATAAATGACATCTTTTCTTAAATTTTATTTGTTGGTGGCACACTGAAATGCAATTAACTTTTATATATTATCTCATATCTAGCCATCTTATTATGACTAAACAATATGAGCTTGTGTTCAAAAGTAAAAATGTTACAAATGGAAATACATTCCTCAACTATAATATTTAATTCTGTCTCTGATACCAATTAATCCTCAGAAATTAAAAACAAATTAAAGAATAAAACATACTGATAGAATGTATACTCTTCTATTCAAATTATGTCTTTATCTTCTCATTTTCTAATTCTTATGCTTCAGAAAGTTGTCTTTGTGGTCACTTAATTAGCAAACTAAAGAAGTACGAATAATTTTTTTTTTTTTGGAGACAGGGTCTTGCTCTATCTCCTGGGCCAGAGTGCAGTGGCATCATCATAGCTCACTGCAACCTCAAACTCTTGGCCTGAAGCAATCCTCCCTCCTTGGCCTCCCAAAGTGCTAGGAGTACAGGCGTGAGCCACTGTGCTTGGCCAGGAAGGATAATTTTTAAAAGCCTTCCCAGGGATGAAAAGTATGCAGAAATGGGTCACTATGAATGGGGACTAAGAACAACCACACCAGGAAACTTTGTAATACATTACATTGTGATTCTTTTCCATAGCCACTGCAAGCATCTGTCAGAGTCTGTTAATCTCACAGCTTTACTTCTTTATGTTTTAACCAAGTGATGACTGTACTATCTGCAAGATTGTTTTTTAACCAATTCCCAGATCCCTTCTCTGTTCCTACTGGAGCTAAGCAATTGTAAAAGGATAAATGAACAGATGCCCAAAAGAAAAGGTATAGCCCAAATGAAAAAAAGCATAAACCACTTTATTCCTTTCAACTTAGACTTTATTTGAGCAGAGGCTATAGAGAGATAAAAAGCAATTATGCCTTTGAATAGCTCTAATTCTTGGCCTTGGATCATTAAAAAGGATTTTTTACTCGTGTCAAGGACAATGAGTAAGAGGAGGTAGACATCTACTCTACAGATAATGAGATGAGATCAGGGATACAAATTGGAATTTCACGATATAAACTGAAAAACAGCTAGAATATTATAAGAATATTCATTCTTATCTATCATCAGAAGAAAGCTTTTGTATTTAACTTACATGGTCCTCTAAAAATTTTTGACAAAATGATATCTGAGTAGTTCAAAAGTTTTACTTGTTTGAAAGGATATAGTTGTCATTCATAGGTTTGGTTCAGTTCGGTTGCTAAAATAAGGCAAAGATAACTTGCTAAGTTCTTCATATAAAGATGTTACAGGATGTTAGGATGTTTTATTAAAGGGTTTTAATTTAGTTATAAAAACATGTACGATTTTGATTTCAACCAAAATGAGTCCCTCAAATTCCTACAGAAACTGCCAAATTCCATCTCTGATTTCTGAACTGCTCCACTAGTACAAGGAGGAAAGGAAACCTTAAACCCTTACCAAAGTTGCACATAAGCTGGCAAGCGAGTTGAAAGAACATAAGGACGTGTATTATTTTATCCTTCCTAGAGAATTCACAAAGTGGCAGGACAAATACAAGGATGAAAAAAATCTAGAATCCTGTAAAGTTGTACAGACCACAATCATAAAGTCAATACATGAAAACAGATAAAAATCAGTGATGTATATATAAGAACCCTTGCCTTACCAGTTTGCTGTGAAGCATCCACAAGGAGCACAATTTTTGATCGATTATCAGGACCTGCCGCATTTATTTCTTTCTGAGTAGCTACATTTTTCACCAGTGGCCTTTTGCTTTTTATGTGCTGTTGTAAAAGCTGTTGCTAAGTTATAAAAAAGAAAAGAAACTATTCAATGTACTAAACATTATAAAATACTCATCTATTATAAAATATACCTAAATGTATGTTCCGAATTAGTGACTTCCAATCCATGGGGAAACAGGATTACTGTATTAGGGTTTCATCAAATTATCTGCAGCAAAGCATAATAAGCTAAATAACATAGTATACACACATTTATAAATTATTTTTCAAATAACTATTAACACTGCTATGATTAATAAAATATGAATTCATTTTTGTTACTTGCATTTTTTATTTTCTCAATAACAGGAATATAATCATATCATATAAAGGGTTGTAACTTTTTAAAAGGATAATAAAAAGGGTGGTAACTTATCCCAAGGCTAAATTCTAGTTTGATGAAAGCAATGACATAGAAGATAATTTCTGCTTTGGAGTTTCAAAAGAAAATATTAAAAAGCTGATCCTTTCTTTCACTTTTCAAAATATGAGTATTCATTGCTCAACAGAAATTCACATAACAGAATTCTCAATTTAACTTCTTTAGCTTCCTAAGTTGAAGTGCTAGAAATGCATTCTGAGAAATCAAGTTCCTTCAACATCTGGAAATTATACACTGTTATCTCATTTCCAATACTTTTTTTTTTCATTCTCAGAATTCCCAAAAGGATTTCCCTGACCCAGAGTGTTTCCATGAACAAAGACCAAAAGCTTTTCAAAGTTATCTCTGCTACTTGTTTGTATTTTAATTTGTAAAAATCATGCCAGGAGGCAGCAGACTTTTCACTGAAGGCTAGTGGAATCCAGGGAAAGCATTAACTCTTTGGTGATACAGTCATTAAGATGCATCTAAGAAGTCATTCTTCTATGAGCTCAAAAGTGCTGACTAGAAACATGGTTTTTATTTTGATTAGCTTTGATATTAAGGCCTCAATGGCAAAATAGTCTTTTAAGTAAAAAAGTTATCTCAAATGAAATCTTAATGTTCTTGTGATTTCAAGGCCATCATTTATTTTTATTTAGTTAAAAGGTTGGTCCTGAATAAAAGTAGTTTCACATATTTATCTTTCATTTTCTTTAGCCCTAGGAGACTCTTTGTTCATATATTACAAAAGCACCTCTTAAATAACAAGTGCTATTCCTACTAAAAATTCACAGGCTAGAAAAAATGAAGTTGAAGGGATCTAATGAACCACCAATGTTCTTTGCATAATATTTCCTTCTGACTTCTGAAGATTAAAGCATCTTAAAGTGTAACAGCCATTCAACATGGCTAGTATAGGATCCATACTAACTACTTTTATGAATGTTGGTGTCACCATGCAATTTTTATCACGAAATTAAAATAGTCTGGAAATATTTCTGTATGTTGATATAAAACGCTCTGAAGGACATGAATATGACTGTAAATCATATCCCAATCAAGAATGAGTAACAATAAGTAACACAGAAAAAAAATTATTTTACAAAAAATGTAGCCTTGACCATTTTACATTAGTGAACAAAATGTTTTATAGTAAATTCAGCACTGAAGGTCAACCAATACAAGTAGAAAATTACTTACACTAGTATTAACAACAGAATCAAAACCAGACACTTACTTTTGGTACCACAGGTCCTCTGTTACTGTTTCTGCTTCGATGACTGGACAACGGGAAGACCTGTCCAAGTTGATGTGGACGTTCGGTGCATTCTGTGGTTATAGCATTTACAGTATTTGGAGTCTGAAAGGTACTGGAGTATGGTGTAGGAAAAGGATGATAGAAACCCATAACTTGTGCACATGGTGCTGGCATCAGCTGGTAATATGTATACTCTGTAGAAACAGGTGGCTGAGCAGATATAATGGGGTAGGCAAGGTATGGTCCAGTGGGGTTTGGATTGGGCTGCTGCCATCGTATATCGTTGTTATATAAAGGAAACTGTCTGCAAAATCAAATCAAAAAAGAGCAAATCTATTGACGAGTCTAAAAACTATACTAAAGCAAAATCTCTTAACTCATTAACTTACAAGAAAAAACAGTACAGAACAGTAGCTTCACAATTCTTGGAAAGGGGACAAAGCTAATATCATCTCTGCTATAATTAGAGGTCACTATGGACATGTAATAACAATTTAAGTGACAGTATAAAGGAATCCAACCTAACGGTTTCACAGCATTCCACATATCATTATTATTTGTGACTCTGTCCTCAACCTCCTCAAGGCATTGCTGCCCAAAAGTTAAACACCTAACTGCTGCATCTGCCAACAACAGCAGTCCAAAGTTCCCACCCAATATTCACAACTGTGACAGGCTTCTGCAAAAAAACAGAATCAGGTGATCATTGTGTAAGGTGATCACTACATAGGGTGATTTAATTCCTCCACCTCTCATTCTTCAGCTTATTCCCAGGCCTCCTGCTCCTCTTCCCATATTCTCCTAACCACTTGGCTAAGTCCAGCTCTTTTCCTGGCTCCCCTCCTTGGCAATGCAAGCAGGCTCCAGGTCCAAGGGAAAAAAGAGAAGAAGCCTGTCCACTAACATCCTATCCTCAGCATTAGACCTTCTTCTAGTGCAGCTCACATAAAGCACCAGCAAAATTCTTTCTGTCTCAGCAGCCCCCTCACAAAAGGTTGCTGCTGATGAAAGTATGAGGTCCTAGGGAGTGGAGGTGAAGCATAGAACTTTTCTTCACTGCTCTCATGACGAAGCAAAATGGAATAACATTCACTATCATATTCCTAAGAATATTTTAAAATAATCTGCTGGCTGGCTTACTCATGAATTCCCAAAGATGATTTGGTAAAGCCAGAAAACAAATTAAGTTTATCATACTGTACACTTGGCTGTTTTGTCAAGTATAAAAATAGTATTAAATTTAGTTTATGAATCACCTCACATATTATCCAATACAGGTCAAAGATTTTTAATACAATGCTAACTGCAATTAAAAATGATCCCTTGGTTTCTACTGTTTGTCCAACCCCCAAAACTCTCTTATTAAGAGTCTCAGAATATTATTTTGAATATTCAATATTTGAGAAAGTAGTTTAGTGGTCTCATATATCATAGATACAGAATTTCTCAAAGAATGTGTGCTGGCACACTAGTGTACCACAATGGGTTATAGATGTGTAGAAATATTGATTGCCTCAGCTCTCAGGGATAGCTGGACAGAGCCTAGAGCCACCAGCTACCTCATCCATTTATTCAATAGTGCTAGAGAAATAAAATTTCTTCAAAAAAGCTGAAAGTACTTTATATAGCAGTTAAATGAATTACACCAATGAAGTGCTAATCACTCAGTCTAAGCAGGGTTAGAAAGGCTATTCTAAGTTATACCCTAACCACTAGGTCACACATTTTCTGAATTGCAAGCATTTTGCTAAATCACCCTGTGACCATGGCACAGACACTAAATTTAAACTAAAATCAGAGTCTAGAAATAAATGCTAGGGCCAGGCACAGGAGCTCACATCTGTACTCCCAGCACTTTGGGAGGCCAAGGCAGGAGGATCGATTGAGCCCAAGTGTTC